AACTTTCTTCCCCAGAAGTGCTCCCGGATCTCATTCACAAGGCAAAGAGCTATGGGGAGGTAAATGAGTATGGCGCTGTCGCCAAAGAGGCTCCCCTGAAGGATTCTGGGACGTCAGAGAGGCAAGAACAGTGATTCAGCCTCTCCCTCCCTAAGTCTTGGCGGTGCAAGACCAAGCCCAGGCCGCCCAACCTAAAGTTTGCCTCGTGTTTGGGTGGTCCCAGTTCCTTCTGGAATGGGTGAACTGGTGTTGGAAGCCAGCAGGGAGGGTCACAGCGGAGGGGCGGCTTCCTTCCCATTCAGGCGTCCGCCCTGCCTCCCTCATTTCTCAGGGGAGAGCGACACCCCCGTCTCCAACCCCTGACCATCCCTTCGCCCCGACTCTCCTCTCAATTTGGGGGATTTGACAGAACGGAGTCTTCCCGCGTGAAATGGCCCCCCCAACTCCTTTCCTTCCACTCCACTTCTGCTTCCCATCTCAGGAAAAGAAGATACATAAGCACCAATATTTGGGGAGGGGGAGCTGGTTTGTAGTGGGGGGGGGACAGTCCCTAATGAACGCAGGCTCCTAAATTCGGCTAAGCCTTCCTCCCTCCCGTCTCCGGAGGGGAGAGGCTGCCCGATGGGACAGGACTGAGGTAGGAAGAGTTCAAAGGACGCCGGCGGAGATTTGGGGGTGGGAGGAGGTAAAGAGAGAGAGAGAGAGGAGGGCGTTTGGGTGGGGTGGGGCGGTTGGAAGAGGAGGAGGGGAGGGAAAGGAGGGCCCCCCCTCCCCTCCTCTGCCTCTCATGGGTGATTTTGGGTGGGGTTTGGTTCTGCTTTCGTCCCATCTGCGGAGAAGGAGTGTGGCGTGAAGGTTTTGCGGCGACGGCGACGGGGGGCCACCACCTCAGGTGCCTGGTCCAGTTCCACCAGCAGCTCCTCCCCCAGCTGGAAATGCTGCCCGCTCTGCACGGAGGCCTCGTCCTCGCCGTCAAACAGGGCCAGCTGAGAGAGGCTGGGTCCGTCCACCACAAATGGCAACATGTCCCCCAGGAGGCCTAGAGAGAAAGGAGGGAGACCCAGGCGGGGAGAGAGAAAAGGCCAGGAGTCAAGAGAGCGATTTTTGTCTGTTTGGGAGGCACCCAGCCCACGCGCCCCCCTCAGCGCAAGGGTATCCGGTCACCAAACTCCTCTCCCCTTCCCAAATCTGCTCTGGAGGGTTGAGGAACCCCAAGAACAGATTTAGGGGGGCATGAGGGGGGAGGAGAAGAGAGAAAGCCACGATGTGCAGCGGAAATCCTAGTGATGATACAACCCATTGCTGTTTTTTAAAAAAAGATGGGGTCTTCAGAAGGTATTGGGGTGCTGACTTGAATGAAATAATAATAATAATAATAATAATAAATTTTATTTATATCCCACCCTCCCCAGCCGAAGCCGGGCTCAGGGCGGCTAACAACAATAAAATAGTACAACATTCTAAAATCATTTCATTATAAAATTAATTCAACTCAAATTGATGGCAACCGTTAGGCTAAAGTTCTGTGAAGATTGCCAAAGGAGGGAGTCAGGCTGTGCCCTGACCAAAGGCCTGGTGGAACAGCTCTGTCTTGCAGGCCCTGCGGAAAGATGTCAAGTCCCGCAGGGCCATAGTCCCTTGTGACAGAGCGTTCCACCAGATCGGGGCCACAGCCGAAAAAGCCCTGCCTCTGGTTGAGGCCAACCTAACCCTCTCTGTGGCCCGGGACCTTTCAGGATGTTTTTATTTGAAGATTGTAAGTTCCTCTGTGGGACATACATATTGGGGGGCCCTAGTAAGCGCCACCCACATAATCGACTGCAGGATGTGGCGTGCGCCCATCATTTGAATGGCAGTGCCCGTCAACTTTGGGAGAGCCCGGCCCCCCTCAAATATTTTATTGCTTCACCCCATCAGAACTAGCACAATACTCACCCATCGGCTCCTCCAGCGACAGAAGCTTCTTGCCCAGGGACACACTGCCCCGAAACCCCGCTCGGACCTGGCATCCAAACATTCTTCCACACTCAGCAGGAAACCCTGGGGGAGGGGGCACAGGAAGCTTAGGTCAAGCCAGGCCACTGCTCCATCTGGGTCGGCCGTCCGCCTGCCGACCACATGGTGTTACCCGTGGCAATCGTGTAAAAAGTGCTTTGAAAATCCCAGAGTTGGGTCTTCAAAGCACCTTGAAAGGAACGGTTCCTCCCCCAACTTTCACAGAGGGGTCCATGAATCCCCTTGCTGAAATCAGTGGTGTAAAAATCCTCTGTTTCAGCTGGAGGTTCTGATGCACCCCTGATTTTGAGAGGAGTGTGTCTCAGAATTGCATGCACAAAGGGAGTATTTCCCGAACCCCCATCTACTTTAACAAAGGATCCTAATACAGCTGATAAACGAGGGTCAAATCCTGCTCGGTCTGACTGCGCGCTGCCGTTCACTGCTGGGACCAGAGCCTGCAGCCAACACAGGATTTAACCCTGCCGTAAACACTAATGGAGGGGACGCGGGTGGCGCTGTGGGTTAAAACCACAGAGCCTAGGACTTGCCGATCGGAAGTTTGGCGGTTTCGAAATCCCCGCGACGGGGTGAGCTCCCGTTGCTTGGTCCCTGCTCCTGCAACCCTAGCAGCTTGAAAGCACGTCAAAGTGCAAGTAGATAATAGGTACCATCTCCAGGAGGAAGGTAAACGGTGTTTCCGTGCGCTGCTCTGGTTTCCGCCAGAAGTGGCTTAGTCATGCTGGCCAAATGACCCGGAAGCTGTACGCCGGCTCCCTCGGCCAATTAAAGTGAGATGAGCGCCGCAACCCCAAAGTCGGCCACGACTGGACCTAATGGTCAGGGGTCCCTTTACCTTTTAACACCTAATGGACAACGTCAAAGTGACTCTTCCGGGGTTCAGGGCAGTGGATCTCTCCCGGCCCCACCTGCAGAGGCCAGGGGTTGAACCAAGCACCTTCTGCATGCCAAGCATACGCCCTGCCACCCAGCCACAGAAAGGAAAGAGATTCCTCGCAAGGGAGCCTCCTGTGATCTGGGCAGGAGGGAGCTTTGGCAGAAATGGATTTGGAAGAGGCGTCCCTCCCTCCTATGGACGGGTAATTTCAGCACCTACCAGGCTAAGGGAGGGCATCAGGAAGCCATCGGGCTCCAGGCCACGGTGCGCTTAGGGAGTCCCTGCCTCCAGGAAGACATCTCTCTCTTCCTCCACGCTCAGCTCCCGGGCCTCGTTGGTACGTGAACGGCGTAGGAGGGTGCGGATGAAAGAAATTGATATTGAAATGATTGCCCCACGACCATATGTTACCTATGTGTTTATTCATTCATACCCCACCCTTTCCCCCTTGGTAGAATTTAATTCATAACCTTGCTAGCGGTGAAATGATTGCCAATGTGCGGTAGTGTGAGCATTTTTTTGCACTGCCTCTTCTTTGGATTGGATTGTAGACTGATCTTCTCCAATCCTGCTGGCCATTGCTGAGTTTTCCAAACTTGCTTGGCATATTGGAGTGGTTAGCATACTTAACAGGCATCATCTTTTTAAAATTTTAAAATAGTTCAGCTGGAATCCAGTTCACTTCCACTGGCCTTGTTATTAGCAGTGTCCTTTCTAAGGCGCCATTTGACTTCACTCTCCAGGATCGAAAAAGACCCTTGATGTTGGAAAGATGGAGGGCACAAGGAGAAGGGATGAACAGAGGACGAGATGGTTGGACAGTGTTCTCGAAGCTACCAGCATGAGTTTGACCAAACTGCGGGAGGCAGTGGAAGACAGGAGTGCCTGGCGTGCTCTGGTCCAGGGGTCACGAAGAGTCGGACACGACTAAATGACTAAACAACAACCCCACCTTTTTCCCTGGCGGAACTCAAGGTGGCTCACAGATAAAAATAGATGTAGCGCGGGCACAAAGAACAGGACTTTAAAACTATAATCCAACATCCTCCCCCCCCCTTTTTACTTAATTTTTAAATTATGTACAAACGAGGTGGTCAGTTAAGTATTAATGCTAAAACACTGCCAGAAACTGAGGCTACATTTAAAGCACGATGACACCACTCCTAAACAGGCATGGCTTTCCCCCAAAGAATTCTGGGAGCTGTAGTTTGTTAAGGATGCGGGAAATCCCATTTGGATTGAGTTTACGCAGAATGTATTAGGTTACCAACAATTATGTGTGCATTAGAATGATACGAATATACACATCTGTATATTTACACATGGTAATGTATTTTTTCTTTCATTCTCATTTTTTTCTTTCTCCCCCCCCTATCTTTTCATAAATGAAATTCTCTTAATAAACTAAAAAAGATTTTTTTAAAAGAAGGGGGGGGATGCGGAAAGTTGTCAAAGTTTTTTAACGATCAACCTCTCTTCATAGTGAACTCTAGTTCTGAGAGTGGAATAAGGGTGTCGGTTTTATTATTTCTGCTCCCAATTTACCATTTCACTTGCAAGCCGCCCCGGGGGGGGGACAGGGGGAAAGCATATCACTTTTTATTTAAAAATTGCTATATAAAAGCCAACCCTCCCTTTACCTCATGGGTAGGCAAACTATGGCCCGTGGGTCGGATTGTGGCCCAATCGCCTTCTCAATCCGGCCCACGGATGGTCCGGGAATCAGCATGTTTTTACATGAGTAGAAAGTGTCCTTTTATTTAAAATGCCTCTCTGGGTTATTGTGGGGCCTGCGTGCTGTTTTGCATGAGTAGAAAGTGTGTTTTTATTTAAAATGCCTCTCTGGGTTATTTGTGGGGCCTGCGTCTGTTTTTGCATGAATAGAACGTGTCCTTTTATTTAAAATGAATTTCTGGGTTATTTGTGGGGCCTGCCTGGTGTTTTTGCACGAGTAAAATGTGCGCTTTTATTTCAAATGCATCTCTGGGTTATTTGTGGGGCATAGCAATTCATTCATACCCCCCCCAAATATAGTCCAGCCCCCCACAAGGTCTAAGGGACAGTGGACTGGCCCCCTGCTGAAAACATTTGCTGACCCCTGCCTTACCTCTTCCTCCCACCCACGGAGGCGGCCTGGCCATTTTGACCGCTCCCATCCTGCACGGCCTGGATCTGACGGACGCAACCATCTCCACCACTTGCTCTGCCCCGCATGGGGGGCTCCCTGGGGGCTGGGCAGGGCGGGGGTGGCTCAGGCTGGTGTCGCTGCCCCAGCGGGGGAGAGTGGTCTGCTCGGGCGGGCGGGGGGAGACTCCGTGGAAGCTTCTGGAGCGAGGCCGCGGGGGCGGCGAGGTTGGCCGGGTCCCCGGCCCTGGGACGCCGCCCCGTTTCTCGGCCAGCCAGGGCGGGTGGTCGGTGCTGCTGAGCTGGAAATCGTCGTCCATCGAGATGTACGGGGCCAGCATCTCCAGGTCCAGGCCTTCGTAGTCCTGCAGGGGGCGGCAGAGAGCTGTCAGCGACAATGGGGACGTTTGCGGGGGGGGGGGGAAAGCTCGGGAGAGGCTTGCGGAAATTCACATTCTCAAGAGGCAAAATGTCCTTTGATGAGCTCCCAGCTTCGCCGGCAGACAAGTGTCAGGCTTACTTGGCGATAGGCAGACACAGCTATGCCAAGGGCACTGCGGGAAGTTTAATGGTGGCTAGACCAAGGCTGTCCATTGCTGCTCATGACACCAGATAATAATAAATAATACCAATAGAAAACTCAGGGAAAGCATCAGTGGGGACCAGAGACTTCATCAGCTTGTCAAGGATGCCAAATGATGGTGCCGGCCTCATAGATTCCATTTTTTAAAAGAAAACACAACATTCCTAAATTGACAGGTACTATAGAATTAGGGGGAGCAGGGAGAACAAATATTCTAAAAAATAAAATTAGTGTTTTTTTTAAATAATTGTTTAGGGATACAGTCATACCTCGGGTTGAATACGCTTCATGTTGAGCGCGTTCGAGTTGCGCTCCGCGGCAACCCGGAAGTAACGGAGCACGTTACTTCTGGGCTTCGCCTCCCGTGCATGCGCAGACCTCAAAGTGACGTCACGTGCATGAACAGAAGCGGCGAAAAGCGACGCGTGTGCGCACAGACGTGCCGTCGCTGGTTACGTTTGCTTCTGGATGCGAACGGGGCTCCGGAACAGATCCCGTTCGCATCACAAGGTACCACTGTAATTTTGCAAGGAAAAAAATTATTTTGTACAGTACAGTCATACCTCGTGTTAAGTTGGGTTCATGCGTCTTTTCAGCTTGCAAACGCAGCATACCCAGAAGTGTACACTTCCAGGTTTCGCCGCGCATGCGTGCGCAGAAGCGTTCTGCATACTTTGCACATGCACAGAAGCGCTCTATCGCGCCGCATGTGTGCGCAGAAGCGGCACTCTAGTTACAGACTTTTTGGAGTGCAAACGGCACCCCGGAACCGATCAAGTCCGTAACTAGAGGTACCACTGTACATAAAAATTGTACAGATTTTATATTTGCTATATTGCATTTGTTTTTTGTAAGCAGCTTAGAGACTTTGTAATTGTTAAGAGGGATATAAATATATGAGCTATTTATTTTATTTTTTTAAGTAAATCCTGTGACACCATTAAAGGCCAACTGGTTGAGGCGGCAAAGCTCTGTGCCAACCTTCGCCATCCTGATGCCCTCCAGTTGTTTTGGACTACAACTCCCATCAGCCCTCAGCTGACCTAAAGCATGGCTTCCGTGTCAGTGAATGAACCGCACCTCTTCTCCATCTGTCTCCTCAAGAGGAGGAGAGTTTCCCTTTCAAGTGCAAACTTGGGGAACTGAAATCCATGCTAATTCGAGTTAGTGAAAACAAACTAGGGTAATCAAACCGTAAGATGGTATCTTGGGTTTGTTTCCTCCCACTAAATCACAGTTCCCCGAGTTCATACATAGCAGAAAGCTGTGGTTTTCGTCAGAAGTGGAACCAGAAGTTTTCACAACCCTTGCTGGGCATGTTTAGCCTGGAGAAGAGGAGGTTAAGGGGTGATACGATAGCCATGTTCAAATATATAAAAGGATGTCACATAGAGGAGGGAGAAAGGTTGTTTTCTGCTGCTCTAGAGAAGCGGACACGGAGCAATGGATCCAAACTACAAGAAAGAAGATTCCACCTAAACATTAGGAAGAACTTCCTGACAGTAAGAGCTGTTCGACAGTGGAATTTGCTGCCAAGGAGTGTGGTGGAGTCTCCTTCTTTGGAGGTCTTTAAGCAGAGGCTTGACAACCATAGGTCAGGAGTGCTCTGATGGTGTTTCCTGCTTGGCAGGGGGTTGGACTCGATGGCCCTTGTGGTCTCTTCCAACTCTATGATTCTATGATTCTCTCGCTCACGAAGGAAGGAGAGGGAAGGGGCACAGAACAAGTACGAGGTGCCAGCTCCCACCAGCATAGCGAGCAGTCAGGAATGATGAGAGCTGCAGCCCAATATCACTGGCACCCATCTAAGTCATTATTTAAGTCACCTGGGCATAAACAAAGCCATTTCTATGTTTGGCGCACATGCTGTTGGCACTGAACCAATGCTGAAAGACAGTATTTTTCGCTCTATAGGACGCACCGGGGGAGAACAGGGAAAATTTTTTTTTCTTGTTCTCCTCCTCTAAAACAAGGTGCGTTCAAGGTGCATTCACCCAAAGCCTCCGGAGCGCAGTGGGAGTTCCCACTGCACTCTGGAGGCTTCAGGCGGCTACCTTGGAAGCCTGGAGAGCAAGAGGGGTCGGTGCGCACTGACCCCTCTCGCTCTCCAGGCTTCAGTGAAGGTAACCCAAAGCCCACTGCCAGCCTCAAAGACCAGGTCGGGGAGCAGTGCAAAGGCGGTACGGCGCCTTCCCGTTGCCCCCCGAGCTTGTGGGGCTGGCGGTGGGGGGAAGCGCTGCTTTCCCCCACCGCCAGCCTCAAAGACCCCTGAAGCCTTTGGAGCGCAGCGCAAGTTCCCGCTGCACTCCAAAGGCTTCAGGGACAGCCTTTGGAGCCTCCACACGGCAGCGGGGTGCAGGCACCCTGCGGAGGCTTTGCGCAGCCACCCCCAAGCTAGAACAGCAAGACGGAGCGCTCCGCAGTGCTCCGTGTGATGGGATGATGAGCTGCTTGTGCGTAAAATCCAAATCCCTCAGAGTTTGCTCAAGTCCGCAAACCTCTGTCTGTAACGGAGCCCCTTAAGCATGGCTCCGTCAGTCGCTGGCAGATTCCGAAAGTGGTTGCTTTCGAAATCTCTTCCAACATAAAAGCTCCTTAACGGAAACACGTCTTCTGGACTCTCTGCGTGACAGTTTCCGGCGAGGGGTGGGTGTCCCTACAGGAGGTCCTGAAACCTCCCCACTACCCTCGCTGGAAGTCTCCCTGAGCCATCCCTCCTGCTCACTTTCCCTCGGATCACCTCTTCTCCCCCTGCTGGTTCCCTCTTCCGCTGCTGAGTCTCTCCCAACCTGTGTGAGCCCTCCCACCTCCCTTCCTTCCGATGGCAGTTCCCTGACACTCCGTCTCGCTGTTCTGGCTTTGGGGACAGCCTTTGGAGCCTCTACAGGGCAGCGGGGTGCAGGCACCCTGCGGAGGCTTTGCGCAGGCATCCCCAAGCTATAACAGCTGTCCCTGAAGCCTTTGGAGCGCAGAGGGAACTTGCACTGCGCTCCAAAGGCTCCGCAGCACTCCGTCTCCCTGTTCTGGGCTTTGGGCTTAGCCGCGCAGCCTGCATTCGCTCATAGGACGCACACACATTTCCCCTTAATTTTTGGAGGGGAAAAAGTGCATCCTATAGAGCGAAAAATATGGTGCTTGAAGCATGTGCCACTCGGGACCCTGCGTACCTTGAATGTGACTTCCGCTAACTGTGTACATGTGGCTTTTTCTTCTTGTTGCTTCGCAGCAACTGCTTTATCGTATTGGCTACTGGAAGCCTGCTCCCTCCCTGATGACGTAAGGCTCCCACTCTGGCTTGTGACATTTCAATAACTTTAAGGGCTAGAAACCTGGCTTGTAAAAACAAAATGAACGCTGGCATTTGAAGCTCAGTGAGTTAAGTACCAAACTGAATGAACATGCATGGGAATGGACCTGAGTACTCAGTTGGTCACCGTTGAGGGGCCTGGTAGGAATTTTTCCACTGGGCAAATTGGCACCAGCCACTTGGTTTTCGCCTACCTCGTAGCAAATCGTCACAACTTTCTTGGTATTGGTGTTAGGCATTGGTATTGTTCTGTAGACGGAAGAGGGGAGGTGGCGCCATCACCTGCCCCGCATATTGAAGGGTAGTCCGATAAAGGATTCCGGGGGCGTGGCCCTGTCCGAAGCCTGGGGAGGTGAGGGCCTAAGGCACGCCCCCTATCGGTGACCCCGGAGGAATTCCTAGTTGATGTGCATCAGCAGGACTCCCCCTACTGGTGGTTAACCCTTCCCAGACTTCAAGCGGATGGGCTGAAGTCGGATATAGTCGGTTAGGACCAATGCCTAAGCCAATACCGCTCACCACCTGTAATCAATAAATTTGTGGCCTTATTTAGCCCATTAACCTTAATAATTTTGTCATGTGTCATTATTTCCACGGGGGGTGGGAACTCGCCACGCAATGGAACTGAGCACTCTCTGTCCGAGGCTGGGAGCTCCCAAAGCAGAGGAGGAGTTTGGATTTGATATCCCGCTTTATCACTACCCGAAGGAGTCTCAAAGCGGCTAACATTCTCCTTTCCCTTCCTCCCCCACAACAAACACTCTGTGAGGTGAGTGGGGCTGAGAGACTTCAGAGAAGAGTGCCTGGCCCAAGGTCACCCAGCAGCTGCATGTGGAGGAGCGGAGATGCGAACCTGGTTCCCCAGATTACGAGTCCACCGCTCTTAACCAGTACACCACACTGGCTCTCTCTCAGAGAGCCTTCCCTGCCCAATGATACCTGCAGGGCCGTCTCCACTGACTGAGTCTCCTTGCTGGAAGCGAATAGCTTCTGCACGTTCTCCATGTCAAAAAGCAGCTCTTCTGGCAGCTCGACCTGGAGGGGGAAACAAAAGCAAAACATGGGCGAAGATGCTCTCGCTTTGCCAATGTTTCTAGGATCAAGCCCCCAACAGTTCCAAGTGCGGATCTCAAACAGAGTAGAGTCTCATTTCTTATAAGGGAAACCTGATCTGTTGTCATCCCATCCGTCTTGAGACACACAATGCAGTGTGCCTCTGGGGGTGAAGTCACAGCGCAGGGTTTTCTCCCCGGGAAGCCAGGGCAGGCTGTCTGGAGATCCTGGACTGCCCAGATGACAAGACCCTCCTCTCGGCCTAGCTGGGTTGGTCCAAAGCAGCGGTGCTCAACCTGTGGGCCCCCAGATGTTGTTGGACTACAACTCCCATCATCCCTGAGCTCTGGCCTTGCTAGCTAGGGGTGATGGGAGTTGTAGTTCAACAACATCTGGGGACCCACAGGTTGAAAAAGGCTGGTCCAAAGGAATGGGGAGCAAGGCATTTTTCACCAGTTTGGCTACAGGAGTTACCGGAAAGAGGCGTACAAGGCACCCTCCAACCATCTTAGGGACTCTGGAAACCTGATCACAAGGTTAGGAATGCACTGTGGGCGCTCTGCTTACAGGGACCTGGTTGGCCACTGCAAGAACAGGATGCTGGTCTAAAAGGACTTTTGGTCTGATCCTGTCAGGGACCGGACTGAGGACGAATGGTGGCGATCGCCTCCCCCTTCTCCTGTACCTTCCCGAGAAGAGAAGGGCAGGATAGATTTACAACGGTGGTTTGCAGAGGGTCACAGCTCGGAGAGGGAAGAGGGGCAAAGCTGGGAAATGGAGGAGCAGAGCATCCCAGACCCCGCTTCTCCCAGAAACCGGCGAGCAGTGAAAGTAGGAGAGCAAAGAGCGAAGAGGCAATTGGCCCTAAGCAGCCACCATAAGCGGGGTGGTGCTGTTGATGACTGAGAAGGGAAGGGCAGAGGAGATAACTCGGACCAACGCCATTACCCCAAGAGGCAGTATTTCTACGCCTCTCTCTGTAACTATTGAATAAAAGATACTGCTAAGAGCTTCTTGTCTTTCCATTACTGGCAGCAGGCTGTGAGGGAGGGTGATCTGATTCCCTGAAGCCTGACAGGTCCAGGCCCATTCCGACGTTCTTAAATGCACAGGCCTGGTCACCCTTGTCATTTGCGCAGTGATACATCCCCATTAGGGAAGCGGGTGGCGCTGTGCGTTAAAACACAGAGCCTAGGACTTGCCGATTAGAAGGTCGCGGTTCGAATCCCCACAACAGGGTGAGCTCCCGTTGCTCGGTCCCTGCTCCTGCCAACCTAGCAGTTCGAAAGCACATCAAAGTGCAAGTAGATAAATAGGTACCGCTCCGGCGGGAAGGTAAACAGCATTTCCGTGCGCTGCTCTGGTTCGCCAGAAGTGGCTTAGTCACATGACCCAGAAGCTGTACGCCGGCTCCCTCGGCCAATAAAGCAAGATGAGCGCTGCAACCCCAGAGTCGGCCACGACTGGACCTAATGGTCAAGGGTCCCTTTACCTTTATATCCCCATTCCTTCACCAAATAACCCTCCTCTTCTCCCCCTCCTTGCAGGTGACTCTGTCTCTGCAACACAGCCTCAGAGTCACCAAATCCCCCAGGCAGGCCATGCGCCTGCACTCTAAATTCAACCCACATGGAGAAGGACTCCCTTCCTAAAGTCCACAAGCTCCTTACCGGGTTCACTGGGCTCCTGCCTCCAGAAGTGTTCTTGGCAACCGGAGCAGGCTTGGGCGGTGCGGCCGGAGGCCTTGCCCGCAGGGTCCCTGGCGCTTGGCTCTGGGCCCCAGGGGGGTCGAAGATGGGGCCCAGAAGCTTCTGGAGGTCAGGGCTGCAGAAGCGTTTGGGGTCCACCTGCAGCTCCTCTTCGCTGATGTTGGCGGGGCGCAGGAAGGCCAGGACTTTGGGGCCGCGCAGCTCTGGGGAGAGGAAAGAGGGAGCGACGGCATCACAGGTGAGGGTCCGGCTTGTTTCCTGAACTCCCTGCCCCACAGAAAACCTCCCACCCGTGACTCCCGCCGCTCCATACCAAAGCTGAGGTTGATGATGGTGTCTCCCCCGTTGGCATCCAGGTCGTCAAGGGCCCCGTCGGAGTCCAGCCCCTCGAGGGAGGGCGGGGGCAGCCGGCGGTGCTCCCCCTGCCGCTCGGTCTGCTCCAAGGAGAGTACCAGGCCCATCTCTTCCACCTGGCTGTAAAAAGGGCGTCGAGGCAAGGAGGTTGTGAACCTAAGGATACCAGATGTCCCCGTTTCCCGGGGATAGTCTCCAGATTTACAAATCAGTCCCCGTACAAAATCCATTGAAGTTGAAAAGTGTCCCCGGATTCATTGAAAAAAATCTGGTAACCTTATGTTAACCAAGCACGGCAGGGCCAATGCAACTGGCAACCACAGACACCTGAGTGGCCAGGGAGGGTGTGGTTGCCAATATTTTACATCTCTTTTTCTTCTTCTTCTCTCTCTCTCTCTCTGTGTACCCACGTATCTAGGGACCCATGTACCTACGGGACCGTCTCTCCTGGTATGCCCTGCAGAGGACCTTAAGGTCCACAAATGACAACACCTTGGAGGTCCCAGGTTGCAAGGTGGTTAGATTGGTCTCAACTAGGGCCAGGGCCTTTTCAGTACTGGCCCCGACTTGGTGGAACGCTCTGTCACAAGAGACCAGGGCCCTGCGGGACTTGACATCTTTCTGCAGGGCCTGCAAGACGGAGCTGTTCCGCCTGGCCTTTGGTTTGGTCTCAGTCTGACCCTTATGTTGCTCTCCCCTTACGGTTTTGATCTATGGGCTACTTTTAAAATGAGGCTGCATTTTAAATTGCATTTTAACCTGTACAGTGGTACCTCGGGTTACATACACTTCAGGTTACATACGCTTCAGGTTACAGACTCCGCTAACCCAGAAATAGTACCTCGGGTTAAGAACTTTGCTTCAGGAGGAGAACAGAAATCGTGCAGCAGCGGCGCAGCGGCAGCAGGAGGCCCCATTAGCTAAAGTGGTGCTTCAGGTTAAGAACAGTTTCAGGTTAAGAACAGACCTCCAGAACGAATTAAGTTCTTAACCTGAGGTACCACTGTATTTTAAATTGGGTTTTTTCTCCTATTATTTTTTTATTGTAATCTTACTGGTGTTAGCCGCCCTGAGCCCGGCTCTGGCCAGAGAGGGTGGGGTATAAATAATAAAAAAAATATTATTATTATTATTACACACACACACACACACACACACACACACACACACACACAATATTCATATTCATTTTGAATAAAATAAAATAAGGCAGAGGCATGACTTGCTACCAAGCAAGGTGGGTGCCTAGCTCTTTGTCTCCTTGCCTTGAGAAGGCCTCTGATGCATAAAGTGGCAGCGGGTGCAGATTAATTCTACTGCCGGGGGGAAGAATAAAAAAAGGGAACGCAGTCGGCATCAAATCAACGACTGAGAAAGCTCCAAACCTCTGCTTTTGCTGAACATGAGCTCCCAGAGCTATCTAGCGATGAGGACACAACTATGGCGTGTGTTGGGGAGCTTTGATTACCAGTTTTGAGGCTGCCGTGTCAAACTGCAGTGGTACCTCGGGTTAAGTACTTAATTTGTTCCGGAGGTCCGTTCTTAACCTGAAACTGTTCTTAACCTGAAGCACCACTTTAGCTAATGGGGCCTCCTGCTCCCGCCGTGCCACCACTGCACGATTTCTGTTCTCATCCTGAAGCAAAGTTCTTAACCCGAGGTACTATTTCTGGGTTAGCGGAGTCTGTAACCTGAAGCATCTGTAACCTGAAGCGTATGTAACCCGAGGTACCACTGTACAGGTAACTCCCCACTTATGTGGGGCTCACGTTCCGAAGCACCGCGCATTTAAGTGAAATCGCGCACACTGGGAAGGACACAGAAAAAGTCAGCAAGCTACACCTCTGGGAACTCTTGGAAAACCCTTTCAAAAATAGCAAAAATCCACTGAACTTCAGCACAATCGCTCCCTCCGAACTTCCTCGCTCAAACTCCAACTCTCCACAGGCCTCAAAGCCAGTGCAAGGGGTCCTGGCATTGCACTTGCAAAGGCTTGTGGGATTGTTTTCTCACATTTTTTCCCCTTCTGTTTTAGGGCCATTCTTGCCCCTTTTCGTGCCACGCATGCACATTCACATGTGCCTTGAATGTGCGTAAATGGAGAGTTGCCTGTATTAACTAACCAGATGCAGTTGCATAATTAATAATAATAATAATAATAATAATAATAATAATAATAATAATAATTTATTATTTATACCTCGCCCATCTGGCTGGGTTTCCCCAGCCACTCTGGGCGGCTTTCAACAGAATATTAAAATACAATAACCTATTAAACATTAAAAGCTTCCCTAAACAGGGCTGCCTTCAGATGTCTTCTGAAAGTCTGGTAGTTGTTTTTCTCTTTGACATCTGAACACAAGATGAGCGCTTCTGGATCCACCTAGTCCACTCTCCCTGTTTCCAAAAGTGGCCAGACAAGCCCCAACAGAATGTGCACTGGCTCCCAAATGCCGCAAACCCAAAAGTGATTGTTCCAGTTTTGCAAACGTTCTTTCAGAACCTGAGCCTCCAATCAGAAGCCGCGATTTGGTTTTCGAACGTTTTGTAAGCCGGACGGACGTCCGGGACGGATTATGTCCGACTTCCGAGGTACGGCTGTACTTAAAAACTCAACTCACGAACTCTGTGTTGCCCAACACTACTGTTCAGACTGAAAATACAAAATTTCCCTGTCTAGAGTTGTTGACAAGATCTCCAGGCTACTTCCCCAAAACCAAATTAGGAACAAGGGGGATTCCTTGTGGCTGGTAGCTAATGATAAGCCCCTGGCTTTCTTTCCTCCGAAGAAACATAACACTTGCCACTGAGTAACTTAAAAACGGCACAATCCCCCAAACCTGAGGTTTCACGTTTCTCGGAAGCTTTGCCACAAGATCAGTTCCAAAAATGGTAAAAATCTGAAAGTCGCACGGGGTTGTGTGCTTTCTTTTGTTCATATGCTTTATATCAGGCATAGGAAAACTCCGACCCTCCAGATGTTTGGGACTACAATTCCCATCACCCCTAGCTAACAGGACCAATGGTCAGGGATGATGGGAATTGTAGTCCCAAACATCTGGAGGGCCGGAGTTTGCCTATGCCTGCTCTATATGCCAAATCTCTGAGGAAAGCCCGAGAGTGCTAGATGACAGTTCATTGTTCCTTCTGAGCTGTATTATATTTCTGTTCTCCAAGACTGTGACAATTTACATTTTTGGTTCCTTTGTTTTCCTTCTGCATTTCTCTACACTTAAATTTAATTAAAAAACACTCTGGGGGGAAAGGAAATGTAAGTGGTAAAGGACTCCACAGTGGGAATGTTGTCAATTGAGAGAACGTAATGACAAGACCATAGTCATTTGATTGCAAGAAAATTTAAGTCGCTCTTTTCACCACCGCGCCAACAAAATAACCAAAAAAACCCCAGGGCATCTCTATATAATATTCACTGTTCCTACAAGCCTCCCAGTCCAGGATTGTTCATTCATCGGGGGGCAGGGGATGGACACTTAAGAGACACACCACCCCTTCCCGGATTCTGACCTCAAGATGAAGTGGACACAGACGATGCTCTCGGGCTGGGAGTTTTTGCTGCTGGAGATGACCGTGGCTTGAGTCTGGGTCCACAGGTAGCCGCCGTTCCTGGCCAGGAAACGGTACTGCCCAGTTACTGCCTGCCCCTTGCTCAGCACTGCCAGAAGGAAGTGAAACACAGACAGTCTAGAACAGACAGACAAACGGATAAGCTGGGAGGTGGAGGCAGTGAGACAGGAAGGCGGAACATGCGGCAGCCGCTCTTGTTTACAAGCTACTCGCTTACGGAACTGGAAATCCCCCACCAAGGCAGATTTTGTCCCTCTTGACGCAGAGCGTCCCACTCATCTTTAAATGCCTGCAAGGCCCTTATTGTCGCGCTGGTGCCCTCCTGATGCATTGGGCTAGGGCTGCATCCACATTTAAGCCATTACAACTTGACACAGTCCTGGCTTCCCCAAAAGAATTCTGGGAGCTGTATTTAGTTGTTAAGGGTGATGCGAGTGTTTCGGTGAAGGGACCCCTGACCGTTAGGTCCAGTCGTGGCCGACTCTGGGGTTGCGGCGCTCATCTCGCTTTATTGGCCAAGGGAGCCGGCGTACAGCTTCCGGAGGTCATGTGGCCAGCATGACTAAGCCGCTTCTGGGAACCAGAGCAGTGCACGGAAACACTGTTTACCTTCCCGCCAGAGCGGTACCTATTTATCTACCTGCACTTTGATGTGCTTTCGAACTGCTAGGTTGGCAGGAGCTGGGACCGAGCAACGGGATTTGAACCGCCGACCTTCTGATCGGCAAGCCCTAGGCTCTGTGGTTTAACCCACAGCGCCACCCGTGTTTAGGGTGTTTAGAGTGTTTAGGGGAGCCCTATTAAACCACATAGCCTAGGACTTGCCGATTAGAAGGTCGGCGGTTCGAATCCCTGCGACGGGGTGAGCTCCCGTTGCTCAGTCCCTGCTCCTGCCAACCTAGCAGTTCGAAAGCACATCAAAGTGCAAGTAGATAAATAAGTACCGCTCTGGCGGGAAGGTAAACGGCGTTTCCATGCGCTGCTCTGGTTCTCCAGAAGCGGCTTAGTCATGCTGGCCACATGACCCGAAAGCTGTACGCCGGCTCCCTCAGCCAATAAAGCGAGATGAGCGCGGCAACCCCAGAGTCGGCCACGACTGGACCTAATGGTCAGGGGTTCCTTTACCTTTTATTCCCCTCACAGAACTACAGTTCCCAGGGTGGTTTAGCAATCAACCCCTCTTGAAGCTGAGAATTTCAGCTCTGGGAGGGATACCGGGGTCTCAAAACGATTCTCAGCACACTTAACAAACTGCAGGTCCCAAAATTCCTTGCGGCAAGCCAGGACTGCTTAGTGTGAATGTGGCCTACAATTCTGACCAGCTCCAGCCAGTGGGGACTACAACTCCCATGAGCCTCAGCCAGCTTGGTCGTGTCAGGCGACAACTCAGATGAGCCCCAGCCAGCAGGAACATGTTTTCTGGAGCTCATGGGGAAACACCAGGTTGGCAAAGACCTGCTCTTATCTGCAGCAGAAATTGGAGAGATTGTGTCCACTGTTCCCTCACTAAGTCACCTCCTTTCGAAGGGACTCCACAGGAGTTCTCGACCTGCGTTGTCTGTGGCTTGTTGAAAGCACTGCACATGAATGGTCCACTCTGCCAGAAACATCATTTCATGTTGGCTCAGCCACCTCAGAATTCAGTGCCAGCAACAAGGGAAAGAAAGGAAACTGAGGAATTTGTGGGGAATTTTGGGAGGAAATGTACAGCGACAGGGACGCTGAATGACAGCGCATGCGGGGAAGCAAGAAAAACTGGGAGCCGCGAGGAAGGCACCTGCCAACTCTGTTGATTTCAGTTTCCCAGTTCTTGCCTTTGAAATAATGAGGACTAGGAACTTGCTTTTTAAAATAGAGACAAGGCAACGTTGCAAAGAAATCGGCTTCCCTGTATTACGATGCCTGATTAACAGAAGGAACCGGCCCAGGGCGCAGCAGTTGTCCTGTTTGGTTCCATATTGCGTGTGCTTAAATGTGTGTAAAAAATACACATTCTGCACCCCAAAAAAAAGCTGAATCCACCAGCTTGCATGAATCATGCAAATGAAGTTAGTATTTATCTGATCATTTGGCCTTTCGTTTACCCTGCTTCCACCAGCCACAGACAAACAGGCAGAGAATAAGGCAGAGCAAGCAGTCCCCAGCCATCTCTGTATTCTGAGGTTCTACCCAACACCTCTTCAAGTTTAAGGACTAGAAACTTAGTTTAGGAGAAGTGAGAGCCATGGCTTTGATTCCTGATACTACGTTCTGTACCCTGCGCCAAGGCCGCAATAAAGCAAACTGGAGGAAGGCCACATCTGCATACATTTAAAGTGCAGTGGTACCACTTTAAACAGCCATGGCTTCCCCCAAAGGATTCTGGGAGCTGCGGTTGCTTAAAAATGCAGACAGTTGTTAGGACACCCCATTGCTCTCCCGGAACTACAGTTCCCATAATTCCCTGGGCAGAAGGGTGGATTGTTAAATCACTCAGGGAACTGTAGCTCTGGGATCAGACAGGCCTCCTAACAACTCTCATCTCCCAGAATCCTCTGGGAGAAGCCATGACTCTTTAAAGTATGGCACGCGAATGCAGTCAAAGTTCTTCTCTTTTCCATTTTTGCTGCAGGGAATGGTTTTCCCCAGATCAGGATCCCGCTCCGTGTGTGTGTGTGTGACACTCAGGGAAGGTGTAACTTACGGGTGTTGATGCTCTTGCTGACAGAATCAGAGTCCAGGGCGTGGATGTACTCGTAAATGGAGCAGCCCAGCAGGTCTTCAGGCGTGTAACCAGCCACCTCTGCAATCCTGCCCGGGGAGATGGTGCGTGAGAGAAGCAGAGTGGAAGATCTCTACCCAAGGGTGGAGGCAACTCTTCCAGTTCACATGTACCTTTACAGAACCGCCACATCAATGGCCAAAGGGCTCAGATACCCAAAACCAACTCCCTTATTTTGTTTTATTTATTTCCAGTATTTATATACCGCTTTTCAGACAGACTTTGCAAAGCGGTTTTTGCGTAAGATCATGACTACAGGAGCCACTATGGGCTCTTGATGTCCCTCATGCTTCTTGCATCACTGCCCTCGAGGCAAGACGTCAGAAAAATCCCCCCGATGTCAGAGAAGTCCTGGCACCGCCAATATCTCCCTCTCGTTCATCACTTCCTCCTGTAACTTTGGGGGGGGGGTGTTCCTCAAAAACTGCCAGGGCGAAGTAGGGTGGGAGAGACACCCAGCGGGGGCACAAAAGAGCTCCTAATTCTCAAGCAGGAGGCGGGTACTGCATTGCCCGTTCCCGGAAAGTGCCGGAACATGGGATCCCCAGGCTGCCCACCAACTGCCTCCAACGGACCGCCTCAGCTCATGGCCTGATCCTGGTCTTTGTCAGCCTGGTTTTCTTCCAAATGCTATGGACAACAACTCCCATCAGTTCAATGTTGAGGACCCTGAGTTAATTCTGCTACAGTCATACCTCATGTTACGCTTGCTTCGTGTTACGTTTTTTCAGGTTGCGTCCCGCGGCAACCCGGAAGTACCGGAAAGGGTTACTTCCAGGTTTCGCCGCCCGCGCATGCGCAGACGCACAAAAATGGCACCACGCGCGTGCACAGAAGCTGCAAATCGCAACCCACGCGTGCGTAGACGCACCGCTGCAGGTTGCGTTCCTTTCGTGTTGCGAATGGTCCTGCAGAACGGATCCCGTTCGCAACCAGAGGTACCACTGTGTTTGTCCAGCTGACTGCAGACCGACTGTCTGGAGTCAGCTGGAAATTCGCTGTCAGTGAGGAAGACCATTCAGATTTGACCGTTGGAGGAGTTGGAGGGAAAAGCCCTTCTGAAGGAAGTTTACCTCAGAACGCGTGGCTGAACATGTCCCCCGGCCCTCAACTTGGCCTGTAAATACGATCCTCCTCAAGTTATATACTGTTCTTGTTCCGTTTGCCATTGGGTGAAGTACAGTGGTGCCTCACAAGACGAAAAGAATCCGTTCCGCGATTCTTTTCTTCTAGCGGTTTTTTCATCTTGCGAAGCAACCCTATTAGCGGCTAAGCGGATTAGCGCTATTAGCGATTTAGCGCTATTAGCGGCTTAGCGGCTAAGCTGTAAAAAGGCTATTAACAGCTTAGCGGCTTTGAGAAAGGGGGGGGAAGCGGGGGGGAAATGGCGAGACTCGCAAGACGTTTTCGTCTTGCGAAGCAAGCCCATAGGGAACTTCGTCTTGCGAAGCAACTCAAAAACAGAAAACCCTTTCGTCTTGCGGGTTTTTCATCTTGCGAGGCATTCGTCTTGCGGGGCACCACTGTATTAGCAGTTTCCTTTCTCTCTGGACTGCTGTTTCGCATGGCAACTCCCATCAGCCCCACCCTCCATGCCTCATGCTCACCTGTCGTCGCAATAGGTAAACTTCATGTCCATGGTGTGGCGGCTGAGGAAGGTGCCGCTGTCCAGCGGGGTCTCGATGTTAGCGGGGTGCGGGATGGCCTCACAGATCAGCACCAAACATCGCAAAGGGGGCTCCACGAAGCCGCCTTCTGCCTCCTTCCCCCCTGCTGGCTTGGCGGGCGCATAGGACCGCATATGGCCGGAGCAATGGAGCACCTGCGAGAGAAGAAGGACTGGGGCAGTTCCAACCCACCAATTCATTCACAGACCCGCCTCCAGAAGCTGTTCTAAGATGGCGCTGCCTCTCAGAAACATCCTTACATTTTCATTCATGCTGCTTGGGTTTTGAAGACTTTAATTTTCAGATAACAAGTTGCAAATACAAAACCACTCATCACACGGCTGTACGATGAGTCTATCCCACCTTAACAGTGATGGGGAAAAGAATATACAGTGGTACCTTGGTTCTCGAATTTTATCTGTTCCGGACGTCCATTCGATTCCCGGAATGGTTCGAAAACCAAGGTGCGGCTTCCGATTGGCTGCAGGAGCTTCCTGCCCTCAATCAGAAGCCGCGGAAGACATTTGGCTTCCGAAAAATGTTCACAAACTGAAGCACTCACTTCTGGGTTTGCATCTTTCGGGAGCCAAGCCATTCGACTACCAAGGTACCACTGTGTGTGTGTGTTTGTGCAAACACACACACTTGAGAAAGATAGCAGTTATATGTGCAATCCCACCCAAAAATATAAATATAGGTATTATCATCACCATCATTATTTTGTGCCGCCTTGGTGCTGGTCCAAGCCATGGTTTTCAGCCCCTTCATTTCTATAACGATGCCCTCGGTGCCGTTGCCACAGTGAGGCCCTCCTTTTTCCAGAGTGGCACTTTGCTCTAGAGCAGATTCCCAAACTTATTTGAACTAAAGGTAAAGGTAAAGGGACCCCTGACCATTAGGTCCAGTCGTGGCCGACTCTGGGGTTGCGGCGCTCATCTCGCTTTACTGGCCGAGGGAGCCGGTGTACGGCTTCCGGGTCATATGGCCAGCATGACCAAGCCGCTTCTGGCAAACCAGAGCAGCACATGGAAACGCCGTTTACCTTCCCACCGGAGCGGTACCTATTTATCTACTTGCACTTTTGACGTGCTTTCAAACTGCTAGGTTGGCAGGAGCAGGGACCGAGCAACGGGAGCTCACCCCGTTGCGGGGATTTGAACCGCCGACCTTCTGATCGGCAAGCCCTAGGCTCTGTGGTTTAACCCACAGCGCTACCCGCGTCCCTCTTTATTTGAACTACCGCCCCCTTTTCAGGAAAACAACAACCAATTACTCCGTGCCCCCCTGGAAAGCCACCTTCTTTAAGAAAACAAACAGATTGATGCAGGGACAAAGTTGTTTTCTTTTATGCATGTACGTTTCTTTACCACCTCCATTATTTTTATTCAACGCTCCTTCCCTGCCCTTTCCCCTGCCTTGCAACTGAAGCTGCTACCCCCCCTCTGGATTGTTCCAGTGCCCCCCAGTGGGGCGGTATTGCCCCACTTTGGGAAAAGAGCCCTCTTTCCCCCATACTCCCAACACAAAACCCATTTGTTTCCATGCACACCCTCTTAAGACGCATTCGCTCACTTTCCAGGTGGCGGACTTGAGGTTGACGGTGCGCCCCCTGGTCGTGAGGGTGCTCTTCATGCGCAGGGAGAAGCTGCGTTCCGTCTTCACCTCCTTCTTCTTTGAGAAACCTGGGGGTGGGGATTAGAGATGGAAAGGCCTGTCAAAATCTGGGGGGCACTAGTCCAAAGGCTGGTGCAGTGAGGGAGCAGGAGTTGGGAGTCTGGGGAGGGAGGAGAACGTGCTTCTTCTGTGGCAGGAAGCGGAGAAGGGGAAATCTAGTTCCAGACACACATTTTAAGCATACGAAAATGTAGGGAGGGCAGTGTCGTGCGCCAGACTAGGACCTGGGAGAAGCGGGTTCAAATCCCACCCCTCAGCCATGAAGCTCAATGGGTGGCCTCCGTCTGGTCATTGTCTCTCAGCCTAGCCTACCTCACAGGGCTGTTTTTAGGATAGAATAGGGAGGGAGGGAGCAGCATACACTTACCCAAGCTGGTGGGTGACCTCGGGCAAGTCGCAATCTCTCAACCTGACCCTCACAGGGCCCTTGTGAGGATATTCCATTCCATTGCATTCCACCCCATTTTTTTGCTGTTTCTCGCCACCAAAAGCCACACATTCCATGCCCGCTGCGAGGGTGCGCACCAAGCAGTTTTTCAGGCCTCCCCAACTCTGTTAAAGTTCACCCTCCACCCATTTCTTAAAAAAGCGTTTTTGTACAGTGATATCTCTGGATGCGAACAGGATCCGTTCCGGAGCCCTGTTCGCATCCTGAGTAGAACGTAGCACGTGGCTGCGCGTCTGCGGGTCACGTTTCGCCACTTCCGCGCATGCACGTGACGCCATTTTGAGCTTCTGCGCATGCGGCGAAACCTGGAAGTAACGCGTTCCATTACTTCCGGGTCGCCGCGGAGCGTAACCTGAAAACGCTCAACCTGAAGCATATCTAACCCGAGGTATGACTGTACTTCTGTTACTCCTGCGAGTCTGCCGACAACTCCCTGGTTGTTTTCATGACAGTGAGAGAGTAAGGCCACCTCTGCAACATACATTTTTAAAGTCCTGTGCTACCACTTTAAACAGGCATGGCTTCTCCCGAAGAACCCTGGGAGTTGTAGTTTGTTTTGGGTGCTGAGAGTCATTATGAGACTCTTAATTCTCCTCCGGGAACTACAGTTCCCATAGTTCCCCGGGAAGAGGGGTTGACTGTTAAGCCACTCTGGTAACTGTAACACTGGAAGGAGCCCCCTAACAACTCCCCTTAACAAACCACACTTCCCAGAATCCTTTGGGGGAAGCCACAATTGCTTAAAGCGGCAATGTTCCTGCTTCAAACGCACAGTGTATTAGCACACCACGAGGAGTCTGTGAGATAAAGACGCTCTGTTTGTGTGTGGGTCATGGGGAGGAACATTTCTCAAGGCCCAGCGGGCATGCATGCGAGAGGATGGGGGAGAGTCACTCACCCTGCCTTGGGCTCAATACATCTTGCAGTTCTTCTTGATCACAGGGATGAATGAAGTCAAAGACACTGTGACCAATGAGCTCCAACTAGCGGAAGGAAAGAGAATCGGGGACATCAGAAAGCAACGTACGGGGCGGGGGGAGGTTAGAGCCAGCACACTGCCTCCACTAAGCCTAGCAGGACACCATATGCTAGGAGCGCATGCAAAGGAGCCGAGATCTGCTAGAAAGCAGCCAGTTGGTCTGGGCTCTTCTGGAGCCAGCCAATCAGAAATCCCACCCCCTTCCTGTGTTCCCTTTCACTCTCCCACGTACGCCAGCAATTCAATAAAGCCGCATCACATATCGCGAAGGGCACATTTTCCCGAACGCCTCTGTTTTGCTTTTAGGTTGCTTTTGAGTCTCGAGAAAAAACTTCTGCAGCCGTTTCAGAGCAGGCGCTTTGCAGGAGAAAACCACCGGCCTCGGTACAACCAGCACCGTCAGAGGGGAAGGCGAATTTTGCCCCTGTCAAGAATTCTGGATAAAGAACCGCATTGGTTCAACTTGGTTTTCAGCAACTTGAGGGCATTCCGTTTCCAAAAAGAGGAAAGTTAAAGGGGGGGGGGAAACCCCAGCATGTTTTGAAAATATATTTTGGAGCAAATGTAAGAATTCTCTCTCAGGATTAAGAAGAAAAGCAAGATTTTGGAAGTGGAAACTGGAAAATGCTATTTTCTAGCAGCCCTGTCCTGAGGGCAAGATCTCCACTCCCAAAATCACAGGGCTGAGTGAAACGTCAAAGGCATCATCATGCTGTAACTACTCCAGTAAAATAAAACAATCCATTCAGCAATCAATCTGCCAAAGGGGATTTTTTTTTCCGCCTTAAAAAATACCCAGAGGAATGCCGACACTGAGTGCGATTCAGCAAGCATGAAAGAAAAGCGTTGTCCTTAATTTTCCAGTACACACAAAATAAAGACAATATAAAGCCTTTGTTTCCGGACTGCCAAGTTGCACAAGTAATTTCAAAGTGCATAGCAACCACTTCCACAATGAATGGTCTCTTTCAAAAGGTCACAGGCTCTCGCCCCAAACACTGATCTTCATCGGGCTGCCCTGTTAACATTCTGGGCTGCTGTCTCCCTGACCAGGCCCACCCACAGCCCTTTGCCCTCAGGGTCTTGGTTAGGAAGCAGCTGCCTGAATAAAAACCTTTGGGTGACCTTATCTTGAAAGTACCGTATTTTTCGCCCTATACGGCGCACTGGCCCATAGGACGCACCTCATTTGGGGGGGGGGGGGATGAATTAAAAAAAATTTATTCCAGCCCCCAGAACAGGCTGCTATCCGCAAGCCTTGCACACCCGTGGGAACTCCCCCCGGGCGCGCAAGGCTTGCGGACACCTGCCCGAAGCACGGGGCGTCCTCCGGAGGGCGCCCCGTGCCCCCACCCGCAAGCCTTCAGAGCCCGCGGAAACTCCCGCCGGGCGCGCAAGGCTTGCGGATAGCTTCCTGAAGCCTGGAGAGCGAGAGGGGTCGGTGCGCACCGATGCCTCTCACTCTCCAGGCTTCAGCAAAAGCCTGCATTCGCCCCATAGGACGCACACACATTTCCCCTTCATTTTTGGAGGGGGGAAAGTGTGTCCTATAGGGCGAAAAATACGGTAACAGGGGAGTCTGCCATCTTCCTATTACAGATCATGGTTGCCAGAAGCAGGAAACCTCTGTATGCCAGCGGCCAGGAATCACAAGGAAGGAAGAGCGCTGTTGTGCTCATGTCCTCCTGGTGATTTTCCCACTGGTTGACCACTGGAAGAAAAGGATGCTGGGACTTTGGCTGAATCCAGCAGGGCCCATCTTAAGTTCCTATGCTGCCCACGGCAGAAATGTCCAGAGTAAAAAAAAATTGCCAAGTTCCCCATTAGAGAGGGCGTGATCTATGGGGAGCTTCAGGCACCAGGCCCGTTGGCAGACCAAATCTGTGTTATGTCTGCAAACATGATGCGAAAGGCCTGGAGACAAGTCAGGTCGTGAATCTACAGCAGTGACCAGAGGGGGAATAACCACTGGGAGGAGCGCAGAGAGAATACCATATTTTTCACTTCATAATGTGGGAATGCTCAGATTTGCTGGAGAGGATATATTGTCTGATTATATCCTTATCCAACTTGTGTTAACAAGTTCCCCAATTTCAGCAGAGTAACACATTCCCCTTTATTTTAAGTTTGCAACGGCTGCGTTTGCTCAGGCTCACTAAAGCCTCTATAATAACTGTTTTGGTATTTCCCCCTTATTCCCTCATAAAATAGAATAGACGACACAGTCTTTTACAGAAGTATAAAAGGAGTTTACTCATATTCTGTTCACAATCGGATCCCAGAAGGCAGACTTATCTTAATGAAGTAACATACACTTGGAATCTATCTTATAAGAAGACAGTCCCTTTGTCCTCTCTTGGCTGGAAGCCAAGAGGGCATCTTTGGCTCAGTAGATGCTGTGTCTTCGATGCATGTGGTGAAAGAGAGAGAGATGGCTGCCCTGCCCTGTGCTTTTTTCATTACCTGCACAGGTGAGGCCACACCCACCTCTAGTCACATGCAGAGGAAGTCTGTCCCAGCCCAGAAGGAAACAGGAAGTTTACCTGCTGGCTGGATAAACATCCCTCCCCATGTGTAAACATGTTCACTCTAGGAATGTTGTCCTTGACTGCTCTTGTGTTTCACATCCCACACATAAGACGCACTTGGTTTCCTCTTACAAAGCAAGGGGATATGTCTGTGCGTCTTATGGAGCGAATGTGTGGTCCCTGGAGCCAAATTGCCAGAGTGCGGCATGTTCCTGAGCAGCTCTTTGGCGGTGGTGTGGAGCTGCGCTGCTCTACCGGCAGCCTTCCCCCTGCAGCCCTGGGAGGTTTGGGAGCAGCGGGCAGGCTGCGCACAGATGCCCCGCACTCCTGAGCTGCTCTTTGGGGGTGGAGAGCTGCGCTGCTCTGTTCCTCTTGCTTCACTGAAGAGGCTTTGCGCAGCTACCCCTGAAGCCAGCACAGCAAGAGGGATTGCTGCGCAAGGGATTGCACAGCAAGAGGGATTGCTGCTGGCTTCGGGGATAGCTGAGCAAAGTCTCTTCAGCGACACGGGAGCGTTCCTCCTCCCACTTTGCTGAAGAGGCTTTGCGCTGCGCTGCTCTGGTGAACCCAGCACAGCCAGAGGGAGAGCTGCGCAGCGCCTCTTGTTGTGATGCCTTAGCCTGATCCTCCCTCCTCCTCCTTCCCCTTCAACAACATTTGATTCAGAATATTTCTTTTCTTGTCTTCCTCCTCTAAAAACTAGGTGCGTCTTATGGTTGGGTGCGTCTTATAGAGCGAAAAATATGGTGAATGCCCTGGTGCATCTGTGGCAGCACAACCGGACGCCTTCCTCTGCCCCGGCTGCAACGAAACATGTCTCTCCTGCATCGGTCTCTACAGCCACAGCAGGCGCTGTGATTCTCCAATAGTTTGGCTTCTCCCCCCAAACCGCACTCTTCCTTTGTCTCCCAAGACAGATGGATGCGAACCAACCACTAGTCTCTCTTTCTGCAGAGAGTTGCGGTGAACCCGCTTGTGGCAAATGAATGTGTTTGTGTGTGGTTTAAGTTCAGCTGCCCTCAGAGCCACGCAAGATGTCCCTTCCCCTCCCAAGCGCCCGAAATAAAATTAGCCTCAAGGAAGTTCTTGGCTGTGGGAGAATCAGAGCAGGTTCATCTCCCACCACCAAAAGAGGCCTGGACAGAAAGATGCGACTGGGAACATAACCAACTGCAAAAAGGTAGGAGTCACACCCACTGCCCTGCCCCATTTCCCACCTGGCCCCACACATTTTTGGCATGTGGTCCCTGGAAGGGAATCTGGCCTTCAAGCTGAGAAGGGTTCCCCGCCCTGGTTAACCTGTCCAGGCAAAATACTTCCTGCCAGTTTTGTGGAACTGCAGAACAGCACCCCCCTGACTTTCGTAGGTCCCCCACCTCATCAACCTGCACAGGTGTCCTCTGGTCCTGGCCAGGTAGCAGCGCCTCACCTGACTGAGGCCCAGGTGCTTGTTGACGTTCTCGGAGAGGTAGATCATGTCCCCTTCCTCGGTCAGGACCATGAGGAAGCCATCCAGGGCCTTCAGGTAATACGCGTCCACCTGCTCCTCTGCCTCCACCTCATCTCGCCACTCTCCTGGTTTTAAAGGAAGCAGAAAAAGAGTTGCTTCAGGACAAAGCTCGCTCAGGTACGTGCCATGGCACAGAGACAGGACCCTCAACTCTGGGCAGGCTAGATGGCACATACACAAGGCATCTTGTTGGAAACAACCAATCTGGAAGTTCAAGGCTCCTGCTGAGAATGCCGCTTTCAAGCCTCCTTGCCACTCGCTCTCTGGAACTTGTGGAGTGATCAAACTGCAGCTTTCTGACCTAAGGAATGTCTTACAATGATCCTGGGCTGCAGTGAGAACTCCTTGGGCCCAGAAATGGAAGACGCTACCGAACTTTAAACCTCTGGGCTGTGGTACAACATTATGTGGGCATTAGCCACTGCAGAGAAAATAACTCACAAAACCCAGAACATTTCTTACGTGTCGAATTTCGATATGCAGAACTTTCTTCCCTCATCCTAATGTGAAACTTGGTTCCTTTATGTGTTTGGATGCTTTCATTTTTCAACATTATCTGCTCCCTATTTATTCATTCTGTGAACCACCCTCATATCCTGTGATGAAAGGAGGTACATCAATTTAATAAGCGAATTTTTTTTTTGGAAAATACAGTCTATCTACTGCTTCTTTGTTTTGTACATTTGATTATGTTTTTTTGATTTTACATTAATAGAAATACACATACACACACTGCACTCCCGGAGCAAGAACAGCATAACAATCAATCCCTCTTCTCAGGGAATTGTAGCTCTAAGATGGCAACAGTGAGGTCTTCCAACAACTCTGAGTGCCCTTATTAAACTACAGCTCCCAGGATTCTTTGGGGGAAGCGATAACTGTTTAAAGTGGAATCAAAGCGCTTTAAATGTATGGTTTGAGTGGGGCCGATATTGCTTTACATCCAAAACTTTCAAAGCAAAATCCTTCAGGAAACATGACACAGTAGGCACAGTACGTATTTTAACACCCAGAAATTGACGAAAGCCACAGCTGAGATCACCAGTCAGGGAAGAGTTGTCAATTTAAAAGGCTTTCAATGGATGCTGAAAGGCCAGTACGGTTGGCGCCTGTCTAATTTGTACAGGGAGTGGACTCCATGAAAAAAGGGATGCAATGCTGGGATATCACAGGGCAGGACTCAGGTATCTTCAGCAACTATCACACCACCTGCTAATGAGTACACAACCTGAACAGGTATCTAGGGAACAAGAAGATCTTTCAAGTAACACAATCCCTGAGTTGTCTAGCACCTTGTATACAAGTACCAAAATTGTTGGGCCGCGGGCACACTGTCAGCCAAGGGAAGCTTTGTCAGCAGTCCACCCAGAACTCACTGTAATAATTCAGCCCTGAAGTTATAAACACCTGGACAGATGTACGTTTGCCTCCAGGAAATACCTGTAGCTACCTTACTATCAAGGGATGCGGGTGGCGCTGTGGGTTAAACCACAGAGCCTAGGACTTGCCGATCAGAAGGTCGGCGGTTTCAATCCCCGCGACGGGGTGAGCTCCCATTGCTGGGTCCCTGCTCCTGCCAACCTAGCAGTTCAAAAGCACGTCAAAGTGCAAGTAGATAAATAGGTACCACTCCAGCGGGAAGGTAAACGGCGTTTCCGTGTGCTGCCCTGGTTCGTCAGAAGAGGCTTAGTCATGCTGGCCACATGACCCGGAAGCTGTACGCTGGCTCCCTCGGCCAATAAAGCGAGATGAGCGCTGCAACCCCAGAGTTGGTCATGACTGGACCTAATGGTCAGGGGTCCCGTTACCTTTTTACCTTACTATCAGGAAGCTGGCAAAAAGCCCTTCAAGCAACAAAGGGCAGGGGTCGGCTTGCAACTTAGGAATCGTGGAATTTAGTACAGATAACAAAAATGGATAATCGCAGCTCCACACAGCCCAGCCACTAGGATGCTTCTGGACAGGGAAAGCCTGGCTTCTATGCTCTGGTAACATCTAGGTTAGATTACTGCAATGTACGTAGGGCTGCATCTGAAGATGGTTCGGAAACTTGAGCTGGTGCAGGTTGCTCATAGGGTCAAGGCAATTTGAGCATATTACACCGATCCTGGCCTGACTGCACCAGCTGCCAATTAGTTTCTGGGCCCAATTCAATGTGCTGGTTTTGGCCTATAAAGCCTCAAACGACTGCAATACCTCAAAGACCTCTTTCCATATGAACCTCCCCAGACCCTGAGATCATCACTGAAGGTCCTTACTCGTGTCCTTCCCCCACGAGAGGTCCGAAGGGCAGCAACAAGAGAACGGGGCCTTTTCGGTGGTGGCTCCCTGTTTGTGGAGTGCTCTCCCCAGGAAGGCTCGCCTGGCACCTTCGTTATACACCTTTAGGTGCCAAGTGAAAACATTCATCTTCAACCAAGCCTTTGGCTGATTAACATCCTATACCCTTTTAAATGTGTTTGAGGGAAGCGGGGGGAGGTTATTGTTTCGTTTTGTCCTTGTTTTTATTATGTACTTTGTATTCTTTTATCTTGTATTTTAATTTTGCAAATCACCCTGAGATCTATGGATGAAGGGTGGTGTACAAATTTTAATAATAATAATAAGTTTTTTGTACCCTGCCCATCTGACTGGGTTGCCCTTGGCACTCTGGGCAGCTTCCAGCAGAATATACAAAAACACAACAGAACATCACACATTAATAGCTTCCTGATACAGGGCTGCATTCAGATGTCTACAGAAGGTCAAATGATTATTTATTTCCTTGACATTTGATGGGATGGCACCACCACCAAGAAGGCCCTCAAGCCTGGTTCCCTGTAACATCGCTTCTTGCACTGAGGGGACCACCAGAAGGCCCTCGGAGCTGGACCTCACTGCTTTCAGACAGCCAAACCACTAGGCATCCTTGCCCCACTCTCCAATTTAAAAACCAGCACCAGAGCTAGCCCAGGTTTCTTCCTCAGTGACACACAAGTCCCGAGATCAGAACCGCCCGTTGCATTTCCAAGCTGCCACAAACAGGACTAGAAACTTGCTTTTTTGAGCTTCAAAGGAAGGCGGGGAGTCTCGGGTTCAAGGCTGCTGCCGGTTTGGTCCAACAGCCGTCCTTTTGTCGGGCATCCGCGGGCAAGCACTCCTCCCCATCGGACAATGCCTGTCCACTGAGCATCCCTCTGCGGCAGCCGCTACACAGGTCTACCAGTGGGAGCGGAAAGGAGGAGGAGATTCTAGAAGTCGCTTAGCAACGGGGTCCATGGGGGGCAATAACATAAATGTGGAGGAGGCTCTAAGGGACAGGTGGCAACGCTTTTGATCTCCCACCTACCACTTTCCCCCACCTGTTTGGGGTTCTAGCTAGCATTCACTTGGCTGCAGCTCAGATGTCGAGTCCCAGCATTGAGGCAGAACATGGCGCACTGAGATGGCACGTAGCATGATCCAGAACCCCCTCAAGGAGCTGGGGGGCTCAGGACTGCCAGCAGAGCAGGATTGGGGCATTGGGGGGTGGGGGGTGGTGCAAGGAAGAGGGGAACCCCGAGAGAACATGGCGGCCCTCACCTGAATTCAGTAGCTTGTGCATCCGCAGGTAACTGATGGTCAGTCGCATGATGGAGGCCTTGTCCAGGTGGGCACTGACCCCCCGGGCGAAGGGCAGGGTGTGCGCCAGCTGGTAGAAAACCTCCGTCTCCTTGCTGCGGCGGCATCGCGCCGCGTCCCTCGATTTCTCCTTCCGGATTTCTGTGGTGGACCTGCAGGGAAAGGAAGGAAGGTCAGAGGTTTGTTTGTTTGTATGTGTGTTTTTGAGCAAGAGAACTGAGCTCCTTACTTTTTAAAATTAAATAACGGCCGTATTTTTCCGTCTATAAGACACCCCCATGTATAAGATGTATTTTTGGGGACTCAGATTTAAGAAAATGGGGAGGTGTATCCGTGTATAAGATGCCCCCTAATTTTTGACATTATTTTTTAAGGAAAAAAAACCTGGTCTTATACACGGGAAAATACAGTACTTTCTTTTTATGTCAGGGTGAGCCAAAAATCCATCTCTATCTGTAACCCATAAAATCGTAGCTATTTCGAATCCAGATCTTTGTTCGCTTGAGTTTATTAATCATATCTTGCATTTAGCCGCTGCCCAGGGGCCGGGGAGGGCCCACAACAAACAAACAAACAAATACACGCACAGACACACACACACCTTTTTTTTCCAGAAAAAGCACTGAAACATCAGGGTAAAGCAACACTTTTGAGGTAGGCCTCCAGGCAGGGCTATTATGGGATATCTGCCTGTCTCATGTTGTTCATGTTAGACAAGGAGGACTGAGGAGACACGAGTTCAAATCTTCGCGCGACCGCAATGAAGCTCCCTAGGTGACTTTAGGCCTGTCAGCCTAGCCTACCTCTCAAGGTTGTTGTGAGGATTGGGGAGGGGAATGACACATGCTAGGGTAAGCTTCTTGGAGGAAAAGCAAGCTATCAATGGAATATAGAAAACAAATAAGAAAATTGTCTCAGGACTCCCATTTACAGAAGATGCTATTCTGAGTTCTATTCCCAGGTCAAGGGATGAGGATGTGACCGGTCAAATAACATTTTTGTTATGGATTTATGTTATGAGAAGAGCAGAAGACAATAGTCAACAAGTCTGACAAGTCCGTATAGTAAAAGCTATGGTTTTCCCAGTAATGATGTATGGAAGTGAGAGCTGGACCACAAAGAAGGCTGATCGCCGAAGAATGGATGCTTTTGAATTCTGGTGCTGGAGGAGACTCTTGAGAGTCCCATGGACTGCAAGAAGATCAAACCTCTCCATTCTGAAGGAAATCAGCTCTGAGTGCTCACTGGAAGGACAGATTCTGAAGCTGAGGCTCCAATACTTTGGCCACCTCATGAGAAGAGAAGACTCCCTGGAAAAGACCCTGATGTTGGGAAAGATGGAGGGCACAAGGAGAAGGGGACGACAGAGGACGAGATGGTTGGACAGTGTTCTCGAAGCTACCAGCATGAGTTTGACCAAACTGCGGGAGGCAGTGGAAGACAGGAGTGCCTGGCGTGCTCTGGTCCAGGGGGTCACAAAGAGTCGGACACGACTAAACAACAACAACAACAAAGACAGATGCACTCTATTGGAAGAAACAAAAAGGGATAGTTCTCCTGGGAACATGGGTCAGAATATGGGTAGGGGGAGGCGGAGTCTGAAAAGTTAGAGCTCTCCCTGCTTGTGGATAGCTAGCACCTCAAGGGTAAAGGTTTGACAACAGGCGCACGCAACCTTCAAACACAAGATAAAGCAACGCAACCCTGTGATTCGTCACCCACACCAGTGTATGTTTATGGGTGGCACCAACCCACGCAGGCACACCATGTTCCACAACAGCAAAGCCATGGGTTACATGGAACAACACACCCAACATTCACAATCCCATTTATCACACAGGACTTCCCGTTCTTCTCTGAGGAGTTCACTAAGCCGATTTTTATCCTCCCGACAACCTTGCAAGGGAAGCTATGCCATGAGTGACGTTGCTCAAGGCAAGCTTCCTGGCTCAGTAGGAATTTGAGCCTGGGTTTCCCACAGTCCGTTACATCATACTCTAGGCCAGGGGTCTGCAACCTTTAAGACAAAAAGAGCCACTTGGACCCGTTTCCGAAGGAAAAAAACACTGGGAGCCGCAAAACCATTGCGACATTCAAAACAAATATAACACTGCATATATTGTTTCTTACCTTAATGTCCAATCTGACAGCGGGCGGGAAGGTGACGTCGGGACGGTGCGTGACTAACGCACGCACCGCCCCCTTGTGACGCCACAGCCAGTACAGCGCCCGCCACAGTGAGGAGTGTCGGGGCGCACAATGCGCCTCCTCCCCTCGCTAGTATCCGCCCTGGAGCCGCGGCAAAGGTGTAAAAGAGCCACATGCGGCTCCGGAGCCGTGGATTGCAGACCCCTGCTCTAGGCCGACTCAAGAGGCAGAGAGCTCAAGCTGAGATAGCCTGGATAGCGTGTGGCGCTGAGAACGCCAAGGTTGCAGGTTCGATTCCCAAATGGGACAGCTGCGAATCCCTGCATTGCAGGGGGCTGGACTAGATGGCTCTCAAGGGCCCCTCAACTCTACGATTGTATGATTTCCCCATTAGACTTGAAGGCTTGCTTCGATCAAACTTGAATTATTCTAATTATTCGCTGTGGCTTCTGAGGAGGGCCCCCAACAAATGCCCGGTCCTCTGGGTCCGAGCCTCCAAACCAAACAAACACATAACATACCCTCAGTGCCCGCCAAAATTGCTGCTAATGGCACGTCTAAGGCAAGTTTCTTCCTCCGAGCACAACTGTACACACAAAGGCACAAGCCAAGCCGACACAGGGCCAAGCGCCACCCCCGAGCCTCCCTCAAACCCACAACCCCTACACAACCCATCCCGCAACAGAAGCACCCTTAAAATGGGAAGTCTGTGTTCTATGTTGTTGTTTTCGTGGGATTTCCTGACAAAAGAAGATGCATGCAGATTCTGGGGCGTGTGGCGGGCTGGCGAGAGGGGTGGCAAGGCCGCTCTCTCAGAAGCTGAAAAACAGCGACACGCCTTCCTTGGATTCTGATCAACACCTCAAAAAAAAGAAGCATTCGCCCCGATATCCCACTGCCGAAATTGAGACCTAGGGCCCACATGCACCTCCAAATCGCACAGTTTCTCATTTGACCCAGAATTCTGCTTGTATCAAAGTTGCTCACCTGGAAACACACCAATCTAGGCCTCATTGCATTGCACCCCCCCAAAAAAAACACCCCAATTCCCGTCCAGTTCCTATTGGTGTCTGGAATCCTATTCTCTTAACAAACCCCCACAAAGTGCCCCATTTTGTTCCAGCCAGTCATTTTAGTGGGTTTTATTGGAAGTTCTTTCCGGCCCAAAATGCACCCTTGCATTGTAGCATCTACCCCAAAGTCTCACAGATCTCCAAGCACCACAGACATCCAGAACCGTATTCCCTGAGCTTGCATGCGGGTGTCAGTGTCCGAAAGCCCAGGCACCCCAAGCTCTGGGCAATGGGAGGTATCCCGGGATCCACACACACCCCAAATACCACAAACGCCCCCAAACAGGGAACCCCATAAAACTTATTTGCCCAGGCTGTTCCCACAAAAAAACCCCTCACACCATCAAGAAGCTTACAGTTCCTCGGGATATCAAAGAAAGAAACGCCCTTGTAAGCTCCAGGGGGGAAAACCACGCCGTTCAGAGATTCCCGAGGCAAACATTTTTAATTTCGTTTGTTGTTACGATTACGTTCCCACCTTCCTCTTAAAAAACAAACACGCAAAGGCAGGTGGGAGACTGTAGTCCCTGACCCAGAGAACCTCTGCCGTGACCCTGTGGAAACCCACCGAAAGACCCTCCTTGGCCCACGAAGGAGACCCCACACGACACCTGGGAGCCCGGAGATCTTTGAAGAATCCTGCAGAACAAGCCCCAGGGATCTGTGGGAAGCCACAAAGCCACGCCGCTTTGGAGCATGAAAGAACCACACCAGCAGCAGACCACAAAACTCTTCCACCCGAAACAGAGGGATGGGGACCTCACCTGTACCAGCTCCTGTACTTCAGCCTCTTCCGGCGCCGCTGCATCGCCGGGTGACTGGCTCTCCGTTCAGCTCCCTGAGTCGAATAAAGCCGGGCTTTGATCTCCCCAGTCTTCTTGCCACCCGTCCCTCCCAGGTCCCATCCAGGGTACAGGCTGTTCCATTCCTGTCCCCTGGCACGGCGCCACTCACTCCCGGGTTGCGCAGAGCAAGCAGCGTTTTGCCGCGAGGGATGAAGAGGAGCGCCTTATCTGTGGCTGCTCTCGGCTTACTCTCCAGCAAGCGGGTTCACCCCGGGGGCCTGGCCACTGGCCAGGTGGGCCAACGGGTCACCAGACAGGGCTGGCAGCAGGCAGGAGGGAAGCGGGGAATCCTCATGCGCGGCCACGTGCCTGAGACAAGCATGGGTGCGCATGGGCAAGGGGGGCGTGAACGCAGCGAAGGATCACCGCAGGAACACACCGGCCGGGCAAATGAGAGGGACGAATGCAATACAACTCTCTCCCCCCCCCCAAAAAAAATCAACAACCCAAAGAAATGCATTGTGGGGGCGATGTTGCGCCAGAATATGAAATCCCCAGCAGAATTCGCAAGGGAGAGTTCAGATCAGGCAGCGGTTGATTTTTAGAAAGAGGACGACGAGCCTCTTTTTGGAAATTATATGCTTTGCCTTCTCGCTATTCCTGGATATGTGAAACACATACTCCGGTTAGCAGCTGGCATCAGTATTGAAGCCTCATGCCACTTTTTTTTTAAATTGTAAAACTTTTTAGGAACATTGGACGCTGCCATCCCATCGAGCTTAGAAATGCTATCTGGCAGCATATCCCTTGGGTCACAGGCCTTAACTCTTCGACTTGGGAGATGCCAGGAATTGAACCCCAGATCCTTTGCTGCACCACAGAGCTATGGCATTTCGCCAAAGGAGAGAAACGAATCTTTGGAGAGGGCGATTGAGAGGGAAGGGGCGATTCTTAAAACCCTCCCCTGCTCTAAATCCTTCCAAGTGACTCTGCCTGTGACCCAGAATGGAATGTCAGCGTGCTCCAGTGTTAAGGAAGTCTGCACGTGAACAGAGGCACTCTTTGTCGGAGATTCCAAAGCTGGGGCACTCACTTTCCAAAACGTCTTAAAGGGCGGGATCCAGACATACAGTGGTGCCCCGCAAGACGAATGCCTCGCAAGACGGAAAACCCACAAGACGAAAGGGCTTTCCGTTTGCGAGTTGCTTCGCAAGACGAATTTCCCTATGGGCTTGCTTCGCAAGAAGAAAGCCCATAGGGAAATCTCCGGGGACCTCTTTTAAATGCTGGCGGTGGGGAGCAAAGCCTTTCCCCCCCTCCGGCCTTCAGAAGAGGTCCAGGAAGGCCGGCGGGGGCCGAAAGGCTTTGCTCCCCACTGCCAGCATTTTAAAAGCAGTCCGGGATAGCAGGGAAGCGCTTCCCGCTATCCCGGATGGCTTTTGAAGGCAGGCGGGGGGGGGAGCAAAGATTTTCGCCCCCCGCCCGCCTTCAGAAGAGGTCCAGGACCTCTTCTGTAGTCTGGAAGGGGGGCAAAAGTCTTTGTCCCCCCTGCCTGCCTTCCCAGGGGCTTTTAAATCGCCCCGGACAGCGGAGAAGTCCTCCGCTGTCCCGGGCGATTTTAAAATGCCGCCCGCCAGCATTTTAAGATCGCCCCGGACAGCGGAGAAGTCCTCCGCTGTCCCGGGGTTTTTTTAAAATGCTGGGGGTGGGAAGAAAAGCCCTTGTCCCCCCCCCCCAGCCTTCAGAAGAGGTCGGGGGACAGACTGTCCCCGGACCTGGTCTGAAGTCGGTTTCCCTAGGAACGCATTAATTGATTTTCAATGCATTCCTATGGGAAACCGTGCTTCGCAAGACGAAAAAACTCGCAAGAAGAAAAAACTTGAGGAACGAATTAATTTCGTCTTGCGAGGCACCACTGTATTATAGAGCAGTGTTTCCCAACCTTTTTTGGGCAAAGGCACACTTGTTTCATGAAAAAAATCTCGAGGCACACCACCATGCCAGATGGGGAAAGGTCACTTTTTACTTATGTAAAAAAAAATAAAAAAATAGTAACAGCATAGAAGGTAGAGAAGGTAGGACTCGAACCAGTGGATTCACGTTACAATAAAGATTTTGACTAAACATGGGAAAGAACTTTCTGCTGGTAAGGGCTGTTCAACAGGGGAATGGTCTCCCTCGGGAGGTTTTTCCCTTCTTGGAGGTTTTAAAGCAGAGTTGGGATGTCTGTCTGCCATGGATGCTATGGCTGAGATTCCTGCACTGCAGGGGTTGTACAGTACTGGATAGCCCTGGGGATCCCTTCCAACTCTACGATTCTATTAGGATCCCTTTTATAAAAGAGAGAACTTTAATGGCACGGCCATTATTTATTTCGGCTTCTCCCAACGGGGCCACGAAGGATCAGAAAAGCTGAAGAAGAGACCCTTCCTCAGAGGAGGTGGGAGACCACCGGACCCGCCGAGGAGGGGAATCCGGCCGCCTTTCCCTCCAGAGCTTCGCCTTTTGCCCCGGCCAAGTTGCGCCGAGGGCGCCTTGCGGGCTCTGCGTGGCTTCAGGCGGAGCCTAGGAGCCACTTCCCAGCCTGGAGGGCAGGCTGTGCGCGGACCCCGCCACTCTCGGGGCACGACCCAGACCCGGCTGCCTTCCACGGCCAGCAGAGGTAGGCCGCCGGCTTCTAACCCGGCGGAACTGGGGCGTCCCAGGCGCAGCGCCGCGCTCCCCGCTCCTCCCGCCCCCTTCTCCCGGGTGCCCCCTCCCTCCTTTGTTCTCCGGAGCCCCGCCTCCCCCTCTGCCCCAGCTCGCCTATTGGCTCACGCAGCCGCCACTCAGGTGGGGGCCCGCTTTGGCCCCGCTCCCCGGCCGCCGAGAGAGAGTGGGAGCGTGCGGGGCTGGGCTGGGCGGCCGGGCGTCTCCTTCCCTGCGCTGCTTTGGCCGCGTCTGCAGCCGCCGCGGGACCAGGCGGGAGGCCAGTCATGCCCAGACACTGCCAGCCGCTCGGAAGGAGCCGTCGCTCCGCCGGGCAGCGCCTGCCTGCGCGCCCCTCGCTCCCTGCGCCGAGGATGGCGGGGGCGCCGGGCGCAAGGCAGCGCCGGGGCTGCTGGGCAAGCGGCAGATGCTGATGCAGTTTGGGGAATTCCTGTCACAGGGAGCAAGGCAGAAGCGGATGACGGGGCACGTTCCCCGGGGGAGCGGGGCCGGAGGATTAGCCCGACTCGCCCGCCTCCCTCCCACGGCACACTAGGCAACGTCCGGCGGCACACTAGTGTGCCGCGGAACACCGGTTGGGAAACACTGTTATAGAGACTTGTTTTCTGGCCCATTTTTGGCTCACCTAACTCTGCTGCCAATTTGACGTTCCCACCCACCCCAGGAAGGATTTTCCACTCCACTGATAAAACTGATCCAATTTACGTCCCCATTTCCCAGAATGCTCAGAGAGATGCTCCATCTGGGAAGCTGACAAGCAGACAGGATGAAGGCATTTGCCTCCAGCAGTTGTCACTCGGGGAGATGCTGACATTAGCTATCATGGCTAACGGTGATTTATTGGGCAAACTAGTTCTGTAGCCATACCATCAGAGCACCACAGAACTTGGGTTTAGGCACAGAACCTCCGCTTGCTTTCCTGCTTTTCTAAACCAGCAGTTTCTTCTAGATTTCCACGTTTCTCTTTGTCCCTTTCATCCAACAGACCCTCTCATATTTCCATATCCGCTTCCTTCCCCACACCAAACGGTGTTTATCCTTCTTCAAACACAATCACCGAAATGAAAGGAACAGGGCAAAAACTAGGATCAAATAATCTTCATATAAATAACAAGATAGAAAGAAGAGGGCGGGTCACATTCCACTCCGTAATATGTGCCTTCCAAGTCTCCAGATGGGCGCCAGATGTTGCTCAGCAAACAGTTACAAGAATCTAGTCCTCAAGGATGCAAAAGGCAGTCTTGGAAGCGCCCCAAATTACCATAGAGTTGTAAAGTTAGAAGGGTCATCTTGTCCAACCCTCCGCAATACAGGAATGCCTTAGCCTTGGAAAATTGTTTGGGTATGCAGAGTCTCGCCACCCACCCCACTTTTAAATTTATTTGTGACTTAAGGGGGGGGGGCCTATTAATGAAGAAAAGAGAGGTCTGCAAAACCACGGCAAGCAGGTTAGAAGTTGGTCAGAGGGAGAGGGCATCAATATATACCCTATACAGCCATCTGCCATAGAAATGCTTTGCTGTGTGCAATGTGGAACAGAGCCCCTGTTTTGTGAAGGCACCATCCTGGAGGGCGCCAGACCCAAGCGCCCTCCCTGCAGGAGCTCATTCTGCTGCACTACGGCACGGCTCGATAACAGCTGCCTACGCAAAGCTCGCATGCATCTCTGATGCCTTCTGCTCAGATCAAGCATCTCTGACGTCAAACTTCCTTCCTCCACTGAGAATATCTCAGCTCTGCACATGCAGAGCGTTGCCAGCCGGCTACTTTGCACAACAAACCGTTTTTTCCTTATTAGCGCAAAATTGGAAAAGTTGGTTGTGGGGTGGAGAGAGACAGAGGTGGGCAGGCAAAAACAACCCCCCCCCCGGCACCCCCAACATCCAGCTCCACAGCAGCATAAGCTTCCCCCAAGGCACTGATCAGCTGTGCTGAAGTGACCCCGTTCAATCAGGACAGCCAAATCGATCCTGATGAATTTCCAGCAGACCCGTCATTTGGCATTTCCATCGATTCGATCCATGCATATGGATGCCCGGAGACAAGCAAACCAAATGCCAGAGATACTGAACATCCGAAGAGGCTCGTACATTCAATAAGTTAGCTTCTCCCCACCCACAAACCTTTGTCTGAGGACAAATCCACAGAGGAGAGGGCTGTCGATGGCTACTAGCCATGGCAGTCAGAGGCAGAATTGCTTCTGAAGACTAGTTGCTGGAAAGCTCAAGAGGGGACAGGGATTTTGTGCTCAGATTCTGGTTTCCCCCAGGCATCGGGGGGGGGCACTGTGAGAACAGGATTCTGGACTAGACAAGTCACCAGACTCAAC